TTCTCTACGGTGTCAAACTTCGAGGGAAAATTAAAATATCAGGGAAATGTCTTGCTCTCACACTGTGCATCACACAGCCTGGCTCACTCAGACATAGTCTATTTCAATCTTTCTGGGGCTAATTTAACAAGTAAACACTCCCACCCACGCCCCGACCCCCCACAAAGAAAAGAGGCAGTTGTTAGTGTTTGTTAACTTGGTCCAAGCAGCCTGGGTACATTGCCCAGTGTTTTACTCATGCTGTCATTAGTAAAAAGCTGCAGAGCGCCCTCTGCAGTCGAAACAGGCTGAATCAGCTAGACATTTTTTTTTTTTCCTGGACAGCTCAAACTTGTGGCAGATAAAAGTCATTTTTTCTTCTGCACCAGAGAGATAAGTAATAAAAGGTAAGTAACAATACAGTATAGTTAAATATGTTAGATTGCGCGTGAAATGGTGATGGCCTACCCAGAATTGTTTCCACACCTTTCTTCTATAAAACAGCTTTGTAAGGCTTCCTGACATAAAATTGCCTTGAGAGGAAATCGTTTAAGTTATGAATCTGACATAATCGGTTTTTCAGTTTTTAAAGGGTACTCTGCTGCTGTTTGGAAAATGGAGCGTAGAGAGGCAAAAGAAGAAGCAGGGAGCTCTGTTAGGTGCTACCGTAGACAGCCAAGGGACAAAGGGTGCTGATATAAAGTTGGGAGTCGGCAGTGGGGAGAAAGACAAGCGCATCGCTGTCATATTTTAGCAACAGAAGCAGCAGGTCTTGTTGATGAATTGGTTGTGAGGGGTAAAAGAAAGAAAGAAATGTACTATTAAAAATAGACTAAACCAGGGGGAAAAGTTCTTGAACATTAACTAAACCATTCCAAGTGCTGAAAATATTTTGAGATGACAAAGTGATTACCTCAGAATACAACCTTTTAGAAACACCCTGCAAAACACCTTTTTAAAAAATGTCCAGTCATGAGGTGGAAGGAATAATGAGATGTTATTGCTTAACAGGCAACAGAGTTTATGTTCAGGATGACAAAAAGTTCTGGAAACAGATAGAGGTAGCAGTCGCACAGCATTGCGAATGTAATTAATTCCGTGCAATTGTATGTTTAAACATGCTTATGATGGCAATCCTTATGTTATATATGTTTTACCACAATAAAAAAATGGGGGGAAATGCCCAATCATAATTAGTAACAAATTCTTTTGACTCACAGAGAACTGAGTGACTTTTCTACGAGTTGGTGCTATACCTGTAGACCTAAAAAGGAGTATTTGTTTTGTTTTGTTTTTAACTTTATGGAATTTAAAGTCCATAAGTCACCTTCACATGCTATAGCACATTTTCCGTTGAGTCACTCCTTCTATTCATTAACAGTTATGTACTCTCATGGCTCCAACATCTGTTACAGCCCTATTCGAAGAACAGGGTTTTGGGGAAATGGCTGCTTCAGAAAACGCCATATTCTGAATATCTTTATCCTGAGTGAGAATAGTGCAAAGTAATACAAAAATATATTACATATTTTTATGTGTGGTTTAAGTACACCTTCAAAAGATGAATATTTGGTACCTGAAACTTAATCTGAGTCCCCAGTCACATATTCTTAAAATCAGAACGATAGGAGAAGAAAGGGCATTTAGAAAATGTAAGTTTATAGTACAAGGACCAGAATCTGTTCCTCCCACAGCTTGGGCATTAAAAAGCCTGAGGTAATATAAGTTAAGACACAGACTAGCAGGATCTTGGAAAGTTTTATTGACCACATGAATCCCGCTGTCATGGAAATCAGATAAAATCCAGAACTAGATCTAGGTTGGAGAGGAAAGATTTATGCACATTTTATAAGTTCCAAAATATTAATCAGTTCACAAGTTCCCTTTCACTAATTTTCTTCCTCTTCAAAAATAAATAAATAAATAAACTGTAATCAACTACTTTGCCCCTGACACCTTCTGCTGTTTATCCAGAGAAGCCTCACTGTTTTCAAATATCCCAAATAGATGATTGTCAGACTCTTGTATATCTATGCCAACTCTCAAAAATAATTTATGATTGATTGATGCTATATTCCAGATAATGGAAAACAGATATTTTTCATGTTTCTAATGCATGCCCTATTTACAAGGGATATAATATCAAGTTCAAGATCTGAGTTCAGGATTATTTAACAAAGGTCGTTGTTGTTTTAACTTAGAAAAACATAAAGCTATAATGCAAAAGTATAACCATCCAAAGTCATTCTGCCTTGAGGTTCTCCCAGCGGTGATTGGCATAGGGAACAAAAAATCTAAGGTTTTCTCTTCTTCTTTAATTTTTATTTTTATTATTATTTTTTATTATATATGTGTGTGTGTGTGTGTGGTACAACGTTAATTTTCAATAATTGTATAGAATGTGTGGTGGTTAGATCATATAGTTAGCTTATTCGTCATTACAGTATGCAATCATTCTTTTCAAGTTTCCTGCCAAATCGACCTTATCATTGGATCAATAATATCAGGTGCCACAGTTTATTTAACTAGAAAAGGAACCAATGGACTTTGCAGACTCATATTCTCAGCCCAGACAATCAAAGACCTGTTTCAGCAAGACCAAATTAATGCTGATTCTATCCCTTGGCTGTATTTGCCCTTGATGTCCAGGGAACTGTTATAACAGAAGTGAGATACAGCTATTTTCTACAATTAATTTTTATGTTTTACTCCTGAAATTGGTAGATTGCATTACCAAATAGCATGAATCAATGAATTAGGTAACTATCTCAAAAGAAAAATGTGATTCCAAATAGTCCCAATGGTCCCTGTTCCACAGCTATACAATCTGAGTCAGCTTCGCCCACAAGTAACTGTGTGGGTGTGATCTCTTTCTGAAAACGGAGAAGGTGCTTTTATTCATTCATTTGATGAGTGTTCATTGAAAGCTTTCTATGTACAAAGCATTATACTAATTCCTAATCATCTCTGGTAAAGTGCGAGAAGGTGCTTTTATTCATTCGTTTTATGAGTATTCATTGAAAGCTTTCTATGTACAAAGCATTATACTAATTCCTAATCATCTCTGGTAAAGTGACTTCTCAAACTGATTTTGAGCCCATGACAATGTTCTATTTGAAACTTGCTTCTCAGAAAGATTCTCCTGAGTGAGCCAATTCAAAGAATTCTCTCTTGGTAGAGGCGTTACCCATAAAGGGAAAATAGGAGCTGGAACAAAAAAAAAGTCTGGTTTAAATCATAAGGCTGATCTCAATTTGTCTAGATGGATAATGAACATCCCAGAGTGGCTTTTAATTACATTATGCATTAAAGTGTTTTCCTAAACCAGGTCTGGCGACAGTTTTCTTTATTACTTCCAGAATATTCCCTCTTGAGAGTGAAGAGTTTTGATGTAACCACCTACTCCAAAAAAAAAAAAAACGTAGTACTGCCAACGAGAGAACTACCCAGTGTGATATTACCAGAAGAAAATAAAAGGGAGAAGTTTTTAAAATGCAGTCTATATATTATTACCTAGGCTTTGGTAAATACACACCTCAACATTAAAGAAAGATATGGAGCATCAGGACTCTCATATACTGACAGTGGGAGTGAAAAATAGCACAATAATTATGGAAGACTGTATAGTTTAATCTACAGAAATGCATGTACATGTGAACCAGGAGAGATGAACCATATGGTCATAGCAGCATTACTCCTAATAGCCCCAAACTGGTAGTAAACCAAAACGTTCATCTATAGTAGAATGGTTAAATAAGTGGTTAAATAATTATTGATACAATGTAATAGTATAAAACGGTAAAAAGGGACAAACTACAGATACGTGCAACAACATAAATTTCACTAGTTTACTATTGAACAAAAGAAACCATCCAAAAGTACAGCAGTATAATTTCATTTATGCGA